GTTTGTAGATTAAGTCGTAGCTTCAAATGTTTTAAAAATTTAATATTCTAAAACTCTGATGTGTTTAATAAAATGTGAGTTACTTCTAGTGGAATCTTATACAGCCTACGTTGCCGGAATTCTAGTAAAAATTGTAAACTGTAACCAATAGTGATTTTCAATAAATTTTCATAAGTTCTACAATCACAAGATGCATTTGTACAGCGTAAAATCAAGCCAAATTAGGGGCATTTTACATTTTCAAAATGGAGTGAGGTTTTAGGATCCTAAGCAAATCACTTTTTCGTTTTTAAATTCCCCAATATTGGGATGACTCATATACAAATGAATAATGTGATGGTGAACGAAAAGATGTATGCATGAAACAGGAGTAGCCTCCAATTATTGAAGACAAAAGAGGGATGATGTTTGAACATGACCTTTCTGAATGCACAATTCAGGTTTCAGCAACAATATTGACATAACTATGATGAGCAGGCGTTGGTGAGCTACACATAGTATTGATTTCGGTACAAACTGTATGACATTGAAAGCTCTATTAACATCTATATGATGCCTTGTATCTACTAGATGCACGAGGATAGAATTTTTCACCACTTCCACTTCGCCTTTTCTGAACCACGTCAGTAAATCCTCTCTTGATATAATTATATGCCTGACATTTATAGAGCAAAATCGATTGGTTATATAAAGTGTGTGGGAAAAAGTTGCTGTGTGTCCATGATATTCTGAGTGTGAACAGATATCCAAATATGTTCATTAAAGCTAATATCAATTGCATCGGTTTTAAACAAGAAGACAGTATAGAATCACAGTCAACTCTCTACCTCAACTTCATTGATTTTGAAAAGGCCTTCATTGGACAGCGTCGACCAAGAAGTGATTTGGCAGGTAACTGCTTGATACTACGGAGTAACACAACTTCATTCAATAGCTATATGCTACATAAAGCTATACGGCAAGTGATTAATAATGGAAAGCTTAGTGACGCCTTCGAAGTGAAGTGAAGACAGGAGTAAGACAAAGTTGCTGCCTACTATCACCGACGATCTTACTGATTGTGGTTGACTGAAATGGATCATGCGACAAACTGTGGGCAGCTGTGAGAAGATGGGCTTACGCTGACTGGAACATGAAAAGACCCAAGAGAAGATTTGAATTCCGCCAACAATGATGGTCTATGTCCAATGTCTTGTAGCACAAACTCGAAGATCTACAGACGAAAATCAACAAGTTGACAGAAGAGGTGAGGCAGAGAAGATGGGACTTGCTTCAGGTGACGTAGAGAAGATGGAGGTGATGAAGATACCCAACCAACAAAAGCATCAACAAGAAACACCAATCACTATCACCGAAGGGGAGAAACCTGAATGAGGTAGTCTGTGTCACCTAGTCACGCTGACAGCATCGTTTCGACTAGGAGTGGCGGTACTGCTGAGGACTTCAATGCCAGGATTGGGAAGACATCGAGACACGCCTTCATCAACCTGAAGTCAGTGTGGAGATGTACTGCACAGCATTCGGCATAACGAACAAGATCCGAATTTTCAACACCAATTCAGTCAAGTAAGTCAGTGTTTCTATTTGATGGTTGAGAGACATGGTGCGTTACGAAAAGCACTTCCAACAAACTACAGACATTCATCAATAGCTGCCGCCTACACTCACTCGATACTGAAGATCAGATCAGATCAGATCAGATGGTCAGAATAATAAGAATAAGCAACAAGGAACTCCAGACTGAGAAGGAACCAACCAACCAAGAACCTATCACCCAATAAATATTCAGAAGAAGAGAGTGGAGATGGATTGGGCATACACTGTGAGGCCATTTGGAGACATCACTCACCAGGTCATGCCAGTCCCTCGAGTGGAATCCAAATGGGGAACGACGAGTTGGGCGTTCTAGGCGAGGGTGATGTGGAGAAGATTGTGTGAGGAAGAAACGAAAGGTTATCGGCAGTGGTGGATCCAGGTTGAAAAGACTGAATAGAAGAGAGTGAAATGGAGACCTGCTACTGAACCCAAGGGACAAATAATGATAATAAACGAGAAGTGATGACATTGGAGAAGAAAACTTTGTCTCCGCGCTTATAATTCAAGGGAGATGTCTAAGTAAAATTCTTTCAAAATACCTAACTGTAGAAGTCAGAAGCATGTTTCATGAAGGTAGGCTTTCCACATCTTTCAGTGGTCTGTTAATACTGAACCGAGACTAAAGGATACCCTATCTAATTTTACGTCTTCATATACCAACAAGGTATACAGTTAGGCAGATGCATCTCCGAATACGAAAACATTAACCTGCTTGGTTCGGAAAAAGCGAAGTTAATATGGTGACGAGCCCCATCCTAGCGCACCTAGTAGACACAAGGCATCACACAGATGCTAATAAAACCATCAGTGTCACACATCATATATCAAAAACAATACCACTTGTAGCTCACCGAAGTATGCTCAACATAGCTGAGGCTGTTACAATAAGACTGATCAAATGTGAACTGTACATTTAGAAGGATCACGTTTAGGCGTTATTCCTCCGTTGGCCTTCAGTATACAAAAGCCATTCCTATCTTCATTATTCGCTGTTGTTTCATTCACCATCACACTGTATATGTGTCATAGTAATATTGATAAACTTATAGGGGAAAAATCACTTTCCTTACACTTTTAAATGTCACTACATTTCAAAAAGGTAATTGCCCATAACTTGGTTTGGTTTTATGCCATACAAATGCATTTTATAATTTTGAAGCTTAATGAAAAATATTTTATTCTTTCAGATTGTTGCTTTCTACCAATGTTATGGAAGTCTTTAAATATTCGAAATTCTACAATAGCGATTTGTATTTAAACTTGCTGACATTTAAATTATTTACTCACCTTATAGTAACTAGTTTACCTACGTTATTCAAAGTGTGGATGGATACTAAATAACCAAATATACAATCTAGTCAGCCAGCTAGTTAAGAAGATATTGTGGTATACATTTGCAGGGAGCTATTTACCTACCTGAGTTTTATTTTACCTAGACCTCATAAGCGAAGTTTATTTACAACGTTTAGGTGGCTCATGATTCTTAGACATTCCAAACTAGTGCCACTCACTATGCAGTCGGAGACTTTATCATCAGGCTTTCCAATTCATGACTAATTCTCTGTAGAGTTGAATTGTATATGCAAATCGACTAAGTGATGTAAAACACATTCTATCGACTCTTCAATTTGTGGAACACTTCATCGTTAGCATATAGATATGATAAGTCAAATGAAACTGTACCAGATTTATAATCCCTAGGTTACTATGAAGCAGGACACCTTCAGTGTACCTTTACAAGTAGTAAAGCTTTAAATTCAGAGTCATCCTAGATAATTTAATTAGTACTGTACCTCAACTTTGCCGGTCTACTTTTCGAATTGCAGCAACCTTAAAAATATTTTACTATCTGATTTAAACGTGACATAAATAAGTAAAAAATTCATTGGCGAATTTTATGAATACAACCGAAATGAATAACATTCAAAAGTTGAGCAGAAATCTCTTATCCAGTATATGACCTTGAAATGACATCAGCTATTTAAACTTCCATACTAGCCAAGCTATTATAACTTATCACCGAGAAGTGATTATATTCTTTCTGAGTTCAAACAGACAGATAGATAGATGGGTTAACCAGTGTTGTTTCAATATTTATCCCTAATATTAAAGAATACTACATAATTTCTTTGATGTATTTACGCTTCAAAAATCGAATGAGTGTTTATGTTTCCGCAGGAAATTAAGATTTTCATCCATTTCATCAAAGTTAAAATCATAGTCAAAGTTATGCTGAATGATACAAAGCCTCTGTACATTGCTTTCGTGATATCCATCCATCCAGATCAACATAAGACTAGGCATTACTGCTTAATGGTCCAAGTTGCCATACCTCATATCAGTACATCAAGTAAAAAGGTAGTGAGGCACAAGATGAAGATAGGAGAATGCAGTCAAAAGGAATATAAAGTAGGAAAAGAGAGAAACGAAGAATGAGAAAGTGGTGAGAGGATAATGTATGTATACATCTGTGCCACTCACATCGGTTGTGAGCATATCACCAAGAGTCCCAAACCACTGGTTTCTCTTGTCCTGTAGACTTCAACACCTAGTATGTATTGTCCCACATGGCTCAAACCAACAGTCAGAGACTTCATACATTGGTACCATGTTTTAGTGATATATGATACTCCTACAAAGTCTGAAAAGTTGAGTGCTAGTTTCAGGTCGTAATAAAAAAGACTGACATCCAGTGATGTGTAAGAAAACATAGAAGTTCAAAATTCTATTCAGAAGTCGTTTAGCTCAAAGTGCTGATTGAATTTTGTAGATCAGACTCACATGATTCTAGATTATATTTCATCTTGATTTGTTATTGAATAACTGGAGAAAGTGAGAGGGTAGCTTAGCGAGATTACTTCTAACTTTGACGCTGAGTGACTTCAGTTTAATCCCTTGACATAACATTAAACTCTTCAAATTTGAAGGTAAATTATGCTGGTTACTGACAATAATTATCAAGTTCATGTTGTACTAAGCTTTTGAAAAACCCCTATTGGTCACCGTAAAACAGCTAGAATATTCTGTTGTCCCTGTTGATTAGAATGAACTTCTTTATTCTTCTTTCATCACCTCATATCTATGAACAACAACTACTAAACATTCCTTATTTATAGACCAGAAATTTTAATGTATTTCATAAATGTCCATATTTATAAAACCGAGTAACACATGAACTGATAATCTACAAACCTGATATCATAGACAGGTGATATACATGTCGGATTTATATCACTGATTTCCTTAAATATTATTTTTCCTTTCATAAATTCTTTATTCCCCTTTTTTGATGTCTACACTTTGTACTTGTTTGTCGGTAGTCTGTTTATGCATTCCTTTGTTTCTCCTTATATCTAAGCCTATCAGAAAGAATGAACAAAAGTTGAACAATAAAACATGTACATCATACTTGGATTAGTAGAGTATTTTTGCTAAATTTGATTGACACAGATGATATCAGTCATATACATTTTTATAGAGTAGTGGAAGGAAAAATATTTTTGATGCAAAAAACACGTACAATGTAATAAAAGATAAAAATTATCCATCTAACTAGGTAGGTTTTAATGATATCTCCTACCTTGTACATAGTTTACCTTTAAGCTAAACAAAAGAAAATAAGATCTAGTTGAAATCTGGTACATCTCATTTTGTGTAATGAACACTTCCAATCCCTTGATTTCTTTCCATAAAGACTGAATTTTAAGCTTTCATATTGTTTATGGCATACGTGTTATTGTTCAGCTATTATTTCATTAACTATTTATGTACTTATATGGATGTGCTTTACTATCCATCTTCATGTTAAACCATATTCAGACATTTAAACAACTCTCAACCTATTAAGTAAATGAAGAGAATGAATTCGGCACGTATACTTACTGATACATGAATATACAAATAAACGAAATCTACAATGAATAAATAAATAAGTTTATTTATATATTTATGATTACAACTTGTTCTTTTTGTCTTCTTTGTGTATACAGAAGTAAAATAAAATAAAATTACAATGAGAAAGGAAAGAAAGACAAACTGTAATACGTAAAAAATAACGATAGAATAAAACTATGAAGGTAGCCAGTGTTTTTTTGTTTTCCAATGGAAAAAAAAATATACATGAGTAAACATAGATGCATTTCAATTGGTTTTTTATATACTAAATCTCAATTTGTTTGATTAACGGATAATAAGGTAGGTAATTCACTTTATTAAATGCTGTTTTAACTATCAGTTTTATCTGAAAGTGTTCAATAAACATTGTACATTGAATGTGTACATAGAGAAAACAATAGAATATAATTTCACACTTATAGTTCATGAGCAAATATGTAATGATAATATGTGTGTATATTTGTGTGTTTGTAGAAATGTAAGTCGATGGTATTTCAGCTTCATAGTATACTACATATACAAGATTACGGTAAGTGTTCAACAGTGTTTATACCCTGTAAGACCGACCAGCTCTGAAATTCCCATCATATCATCATCACAATCACTAAAAAGAAAAGGGTTAGTAGAAAAATGCTTTTTATGATACAAAGAAATTAGTATGTTTACCATATAAATGCTAGCATACCACTAGAAAAACACCAGTAGTCAGCAAGAATATGGTAGTGCATAGTTAAATCAGTTATGAGGATTTATCTATCTCACTTTATGAGGATGACATTATGAAGCAAAGTAAAGAAAAAGAAAAGGAATCTTCTGGAAGGAAATAATCAAAACAATGTCAGCTAAACAACAAACAGAAGAAAAGAGAAAGATCTTTTAATATTTACAACATTCGATTATTATTTAGAAGTAGTCGTAAAAGTACCTAAATACTTAAATATATATGCTAATTAAGTAGGAATTTTAAACTTCATTAGATTATAATTTTCAGTTTCATTACTGTTATGGCAACTATTATTATTGTTTTTGTTACAGGTTTTGTTGTTATTCACTTGTTCCATATTTATCTTATTAGTAAATCCAAAAACTTGACTAGATGATGCGCCTACACAAGGATCTCCACGTGCAGGTAAACGTGGTGGCCGATTATTGGATGGAGGTAATGGAGGTGGAATTGAAGACGTAGAAGCATCTTCACTCATTGAGTCAATAATCATATTTGGACTAATTTTTGCATGACTATAATATCCTGGTGTGGTTGCAGTAGAATGTTCCATATCACGCAAAACAAAACCTGTATCCAGCTGAGTTAAATGACCCTGGGTTAAAAGTGATGTGATCGGGAAGTTCGATTGGTTACAGTCCAGTTTATTATCAGTAGCACCAGCAGTACCAGTGGTTGTAGCACTACAGCCAACGATTTCACATCTTCCTTCACCACCTCGATGCTGTGAATTGTATCCGTCTGATGATTTTGTGTACTGATAGATTGCATATGGATGCAGAGTATAGGTAGTACCTTCAGGGGTTTGTGTAAACGTACGCTTGTGATTAGAATTACTGGGATTATTATTATTACTATTGTTGCATCCAACCAATTCATTACTACACAAAAAATTCTCTTTTGTTACTCCAAAAGCTTTTGAATGTTTCAAAATAAGCTGATTTTCGCGCCGTTTTTGTTTAAGTGTTGAACCGTTATTTGACAGACATAAACAATAATCACAGTTTAAATGACAACCTTTTACAGTCCACATCCATAAACTGCACGTAAATCCTGTGACAAGTGACATAAATATGCGTAACATGAATAATTCTGGATTTGGACCGAATACTTCATCAACATTCCATAAATATGATGCAAGATTTATATTATCCGGGGAGAAACTTGATCCACGCACTTTATGATACTGATCATTAATAACATTACGATTATTACCGTTACTATTCAAATTTTTATGTCCGGGAACACTTAACCATTCATCACGATATAAATATTCGTACAGATCACATGCATTCATACAAATCAATGGAATTAGGTACAGAAAGCAGAAAAGTCCTATACGAAACTCCATTGGGTCAGATGATGGATGAGACGAGTTTTTGCAACTTTGATAAAAGCGTTGAGATGCATGATTATAGAAACATTGATTAGATGGATGCTCATATGGAGGGTGAGGAAGAAGGGGATTACTGATGGGAGCTGATTGGCAATGAGATCTTGTTATTGTAGATTTATTGAAACTGGATCTTGCGTGAGTTGTGAATGAATTATTGACATGAGAACTGACATTATTACCAGTAGACTGAGAATCCATCTTGGGGTTGTGATTCTCCTGTTTATACTGAGTATACTGCTGCTGTGAACCGTGTTGATTATGATGATATACACTTTGACTATGAGAGGTAGTTGGCTTTGTTTTAAACTGTCTCCAGCAGAAACATTTACGCTTACGAAAGCATGGAAGTAAGCAGATGAAACCAATCATAAATGTTATACTACCCAAAGTAATTAACACGGTTTGAGGTCCAAGAATAAATGCACCAAGAACACTGGTATTCTGATGACCAACACCACACACAGGGATAAGTTCATCTGCATCAACCTGTAGAACAGAAAAAAGAGATGTTATTCAACAATGCACTAAATTTTCCTCTTTCGTCAAACCAGTCACATAGCATAGTGATAAAAAGGCTATTGAAAAAATATCATAAAATTAAATTCATCATGATAGGTTGATGGGCATACGCTGGACCCAAGAAAAGACCTTAGAAGATTTGAATTTAGCCAATGCTGATTTATGTCAAATGTCTCACAAACTCGAAGTTCTACATGTGAAAACCAACAAGTTGATAGAAGAGGAGAGACAGAGAACACGGAGGTGATGAAGATACCCAGTAAACAATAGCATTAAAAACAAAAGGCACCAATCGCCATCAATGGGAGAAACCAAAGGAAGTAGTCTCTTTCACCTAACTAGGCAAACCACCATCGTTTCAACCACACACGGTCACAAAGACGACAATGTCAAAACCAGGATCGAATAAGCAGGACAGGTTTTCGCTAATCTGAAATCAGTGTGAAGAACTACTCCACTCAGCACAAAGAACAAGATGCAGATCTTCAACACAAATTCAGTCAAGTCAGTGCATCTGTATGGCTCAGAAACTTGGTGTGTCACCAAAAGCATTCCCAACAAACTACAGACATTCATCAACAGCTGCCGCCTACACTCACTCGATACTGAAGATCAGATCAGATCAGATGGTCAGAATAATAAGAATAAGCAACAAGGAACTCCGGACTGGGAAGGAACCAACCAACCAAGAACCTATCACCCAACAAATATTCAGAAGAGAAAGAAGGTGGAGATGGATTGGATTGGTGATACACTGAGAAGGCCGACTGGGGACATCACTCACCAGGTCATGCCAGTCCCTCGAGTGGAAGCTGAATGAGGAACGACGAGTTAGGCGATCGAGTCTGGGGTGACATGAAAGAGATTGTGTGAGGAATGAATGAAAGGTTGTGGGCAGTGATGGATCCAGGTTGAAGAGACTGGAGAGAAGAGAGTGGAATGTAGGCGTGCTACTGAAGTGGTATATTCCACTAGAAATCCAAGGGATAAATAATAATAATATAATATGATAGGTTGATGAAAAGCTGATGGGTGAATTTTATAAATTTCACTCTTTATTTATTTACCTATTCAAAGTAGACTTGTGAGACACAGGTAACAACAGTTGACTGCTGTCTGAAGTGTTTTAATGACGTCATAGTCTCTTGAGAGCAAACAGAAGTCTCACCGAATAAAAGCATTCCGGTTTTTTGGTCAGTTTCTGTGTACTCTCCAGCATTTGGAGCATTTTCCGACTTCTTGATCATTGTGAATGGTATATATGTAAGTGGCTTACAGTGAGTGTGCTTGTAAAATACAAATTTATGGTGTTCTTTTCTATTGAGTAATAATAACAATGCTGATACGGTGTATGATTGAAGGTGAAATTAAACCATTTGACTTAGTAGTTTTGGAAATAGACGCCTCTGGATTACTTGTTCAATGACTTATTAGATGAGGTACAATAACTAGAGGTCACTGGTTGGAAAACTTACGCTATCTAGCTTTTCATCCCGTGTTTAATCACCATCTCGTATCAATGATATCAATCTCACACATGACGGTTATTTCAGACAGTCCCACCGGTTATTATAATATTACTATTTATCGATGTGCTTGCAATTCTCCGTTGCTTTGTTGGATTGAATTGTTCTACCTCCATTAGCATATGGGCTCCTATAAAGGTGCCTTAATATTACCTGAGTGTTAATTATGGTAATTTGGTTAGCTTTAGCTAGCAGAGGAATCCAGAACGCTCGTTTTTTCTGTTTAGGACTCATCAGCTGGCTGTATCTGCACCCTAGTGAGTGATGTTGTTCCCATTGAGACTCGAACCTCTTGCCCATCACTTCAAATGCCAAGGCGTTATCCACTATGCCATAACCAACAAAATCACCACAATTAACTTTCAGGTAATATCGAGGCATCCTCATAGGAGCCCATACGCCAACAGAAATCAAACGATTCGATCCAATAAAACAACGGAGAATTACAAGTATACCAATAAATATTAATTACTACCCGTTGTGTAAGAAGTGGTTATTGTTCCTCCGTAGAACAGTGGATAATGCCTTGGAGTTTGAAGCGATGGGTACCAGGTTCGAGTCTCTGTGGGAACTACATCACTGACTGGGGTGCAGGTACATCCTGGCTATGAGTCCCAAATAGGACGAAACGAGCGTTCTGGATTCCTCTGCTAGCTACAACCAACCAGATTATGATTATTTCCATCTTCTCTAAGTTTCTTGCGTATATAAACACAGACACACATATACTACTGCTGTGTCATATAGGTTTGATCCAAATAGTAATACTGAAATTTTTCTTAAATGAGTTGCTTACTTGACGATTGTGACCAAGACAATCAGAATATTTCTTTACCGTGGCAGAATAATGGTGCAAGTTTTCAACTATCAAAAATCTACTCTTAATTTCCCAGATATAACTGTCATAAGAACAGAGATTACTATTGATGAACGTTCTGTTTTCAGTCAAATAGACTGAATCAAAGTTAACATAAAAATCACATTCAACAAAACTGAGCTTCCCAGTTTCTAAAGACTTTCGATATTCAAAATAACTAAGATATCGTGATACATATCGACAGATCAGGTGTAAATTTTTTTCAGCAGATGTATATAACATTTACAGCCCTTATCAAAAATTGCTATTAATGCCATCATAACTCCAAAATCCACACTGTGACATTAATTCCAACGAAAACCTTGACCAATACAATTGTCGTTGTAACGGACTGCATGCTGTAAGAATCATGACTTTTGTTCACCTTCAAAACGATGGAAGATTAGCCCAATATTTTCACATGATTAAGTCCTATATAAGTTACATATATATTGTTCAAGTACATAGGGATTTTGTTTCAAGGTAGTTTTCATTACGAACTGATATCAGTTGGAAAACTATTGAAAACCTGGGAGCACTGCCCAGTTTCTTCGTCTTATTGTGGGACTCCTCAACATCATGGACCTAGTAATAGATTGGACAACACGTTCACAGTGAGCCTTCTAGGTTCTGAGTTCGATCCTTAGTGAGGTAGGTTTGTGAGTACTTAGTGTTGAGGAATCACATACTAGGATGAAATAGACGTCCAATGCTCCCAAGTTTTGAATGATTCTTCAACTGATGTCAGCCTATGATGAATACTATCCTGATATATAAACACATATTTTACTGTCTGTTATTCACTGTACTTGAGGTGCTCATTCCAACCCATACATTTAGTTATCGAAACGACAATGAATGAATAGTTGATTATACGCTATTCTATACTATTGTTAGTTATAGGTAATGGATTTTTTCGACAAAAACAACACGCTTGTTCACTTTACTTCCCTTCAACATCATCATCTATAGTTTCATCACTACTCATGCATATTTCCTTTTCGTGCCAACAATTGTGCTCCAGGTAATTGTCTGGTGACAATAATCATAACAACAACGAACAAGTAAGTTTACATTAGCTTGTCCTATATTGACCATCGTTTAACCCGTATATTCAAAAACAAACAAACCGTAAATATGTTTACCGAGAGAAGTAAAAGCATATTTATTCTTTTTCAAATAAAAAAATCCTTCTACCTTTAAATCACCACTTCCGTTTTAAGTGAATGTCTGTCTTTCCATTTGTAACAAATCATTTGATATACTACTTAAGGTGACTATTATTAGTAGTATTGGCGGTGGCATACTTACCAGTGGTGTATTTGACACTTTTCAAAAGATAAAATGTTCCCCTACTTACAACTTAGGAATATCATTATGTACACATCATTTATGCTTCAGTTATTAATTAATTTGACTGAAATTGGTCAACTAAACTTGTGGCTGAATACGTGAATGGACATATTTACAGACAAGCATACTGTACAGATTCTCTTATGAGTTTCAATTATATAGATGGTAAACTGGAGCCCACAGAAAACCTCTGTACCTAGAAAAATCTAACCAACTAATCACTGGATTTCTGATCTACTACTCTATTATATGGATTTCAAACTGAAGTTGGTGACTAGTATTCAGTCTCACTTCAGTCCCCACAAGTTTAATCCAGCTATCAGGTGGGTAAGTAATTAGCAAGCGTTAGTTCACTGTCTCTACACGAGCTGAACAACTATGTCGTCAAGCGAAAATCTGAGTTAGAAAGCAAAAGTTAGTTGACAGATATTGATTAGACTATCTGGAATGGATCCTCGTGTGTGGAATGTCTACGCAGTGACAGAATTTGAGTTACGGATCACTTGACGTGAACCATCCTTTCAGCTACACCCACCCCGTCTTACAGCGACCAGTCTGCCAAAGTGAAACTCTCGGATCAAATTACCAGCTGAAAATCCTTTAAAACGAATGAGATTTATGAGATTTCGTACCACAGTCATGATACTGAAAAATTCCAAAGGACTAGGTCTATAAAGGTTTGTTCACTAATGCTTAAAATAAAACTGTGGAGACATTGGTGACAATTTACAACCCAAAGCGATGATTTTCGTGATATTGGTGTTGCCTCCTCTGATCTCATTGGTTAGACCGTGAAGTGTTAGAGTGTAGAATAAGATTACCAAAGTCTTCATAAAAAGCTATAAATTCCTGAACCTTTTTTATAACCAGTCATTTGCTTCCAAAGTTTCGGGAAGAAACATGTGAACCAACATATAAGTTGAAGAGACAAAAATAATATAATTTTTAAATCTAGAAAGGCTTGGAAATAGCGAAGGTCATTGTAAATAAATGTAAACACTTGCATTTTGTATACATTCCTAGTGTTGCAGTACACCTTCCGTTATCGCACTGCCTTCTCCAGTTATCGAGAAGCTGGGCAACCAGCAGGAGGTGGAATCTGAAGATTATTGTTGAGCTAATCATATATATATATATATATATATATATATATATATATATATATATATTTGTCCCTTGGGTTCCTATTGGGACATAGGGCTTCAGTAGCACATTTCCAGTGCACTGTGTTC